ACTTTAAATTTTGAAACTTTGGGGGGTCAGAAGATAAAAATGCCATTTTTCATCCATAAATTGGAGCCACCGTAGCGACTTTGCTTGCAACAGGAAAACTGTGGTAGAAAAAAGAGAGGGCGCCTTATACCAAACTCTGGTTGCCCCGCCGGAACCTCGTTGAGAAGATGGAAGCTTCCAATGTTGAAATCGCGTCCTTCATGACGGAATTCCTCCGGCAGGCCGGTGGAGTAGCCGTCATTGATGGTGGCTTGGCAACGGAGCTCGAACGCCACGGTGCTGACCTCAACGATCCCCTCTGGAGCGCCAAATCCCTCCTCACTTCTCCTCATCTCGTTCGCTCCGTATGTTTCTCTCTTTCTCTCTCCCTCTCTCTCTGCACGTCTGCTTTTAGATCTCTTAGCTATTTGCTTCGCGTTTCTTCTTTTCCTCATTTCAGTGTCTGAGAAAATGCGAGAAAGTGGATGTGAAAATCTTTTTCTAGGTTGAATGTAGCAGAGACTCGATTTTTTTATTTTTATCCATGCAAAAGTTTTTCAGAAATCAAAGGAAATATTTTTCGCCATGGAAGATTATGGGAGTGAAAAATCAGTGGTTCTAGAAGTTCATTTTGGGGAATTTTCAGTGTTCTGGAACTTACTTGTGTCGTTTCTTTGAACTGAATTCAGCTCTAATTAGTTTAACTGGAAAGGGAAAATTGGATGTGCTTGGATTTTAACCCGAAGTGGAATGCATAATGAATGCAGGATTAACATGTGGACCTGGTTTCTGATCTATGGGATTTATTAACTAGTAAGGAGTTTGTATATCTTTGCATGTAGTTGTAAGGTGTTGGAAGCTATTACATGGAATTAGTGTGCAGCATGGGTGTTTTTGTGGCTCTATTAATTTACTTGTCAGGGATCAGTTTTCTCTTGTGTTTTCAATTGCAACGTTGTAGTAAATGATTATTAAATGATATCAGTAGATGCTTGGATATGGCAACCATTAGCATATAGGACATTTGGGAAATCTAATATTTTTCGTTTATAGAATGGCTTGGTTGTTGTAGTCAGTCCCTCACCATCTCTGAAAAAGGAAAAAAGTGAAAAGGGAAGGGGAACAGGTGTGGGAATGGGTCTGAAGTATATTTTGGTTAGAATAATAGCTTTCCATGGTGGACTATCATGCTTTTAATCAAGACATTGATATTATAAGTTATTTTATTATCACTCCAAAAGCGTAATAATACTTTAATGGTTATTTAATTAGCCATTAGCCATAAGGCAGTGTTTAGAGCTCTTATCTGCATCATTTACCAAATTTATTGATTATGCAGGTACACCTTGACTACCTTGAAGCTGGTGCAGATATTATTATCACTGCATCTTATCAGGTATTCTGATATAGATAATGACCTCTTTCTTTCTCTTATTCTTCCCTTCCTAACTTAGCTGACACAGGTTTACTAATTGAGCCAGGCCACCATTCAAGGTTTTGAGGCAAAGGGCTTCTCTAGACAAGAAAGTGAAGCCATACTTAAAAAAAGTGTTGAAATTGCTCGTGAGGCACGGGATATGTATATTGAAAATTGTAGTAAAAGTTCCTGTGAAGGGGTAGAAGATGGTAAGCTTCTGAAGAATCGTCCAATTTTAATTGCAGCATCTGTGGGCAGCTATGGAGCTTATTTAGCTGATGGATCTGAGTACAGGTAACCTTCTATTAGAATGTTACCAAGTTATGTAGTTTTTATGGAATCATTTGGACTTTGGAGCCTGTATCAAGTTTTGTAGTCTCTACGTTATCTCCACAGTTATGAATCATACGTGTTTTATAATACATGAGCTGAGTTTGGAGTTACATAACAGCATTCTTTCCTAATTTCTGTGTTATATTTTCCTCTACGCCAGTGGAAACTATGGTGACTCAATCACAATAGAAAATTTGAAGGATTTTCATCGTAGAAGGATTCAGATCCTGGCAGAATCAGGTGCTGACCTCATAGCATTTGAAACCGTTCCAAACAAGATAGAAGCCCAGGTATTCACCATGCTTCTATTGGTTTCTTGATTATCCTTCAGTTTTTTCTTCCCTTTCCCAAAGTCAAACTAAGAAGGATATTCTGACGTGTCCAAGCTGGGTCCTTAATGTTAAATGCTCAAATTTCCTCTCTCTTTTCCCTTCTTAAAGAGTTAAGTCTGAATCTTTACCGTAGGCATAAGTTGCACCATTATTGTCAAAATACCCTTAATAGTCAATGAGGTTCCTGATTATTTTCTTTCAAATAACTCAAATATATAATTTAGTATCTAGCTCCAATGCTTGGGATTGAAGCCACATTGTACTTCAGAATTTTTTTTATTTTACTGAAGATAACTACATTCTTGATCTGAGTACTAGCTTTTCTGTGAATTTTGTTCGGTCTTTAAGCAGGCATATGCAGAGCTCTTAGAGGAAGAAGGCATAAAGATCCCTGCATGGTTTTCTTTCAATTCAAAAGATGGTGTCAATGTCGTTAGTGGGGACTCTCTGCTTGAATGTGTGTCAATTGCAGAATCATGCAAGAGAGTGGTTGCTGTTGGAATCAATTGCACACCTCCTCGGTTTATTCACGGACTAATTTTAGCTATCAAGAAGGTTCAATTGTGTGTGTCTTTTTTTTTCATTGATTATCATAATATCATTCTAATTCGACTATTATTTAATCTTTGTTTAGGTTTTTGTAGGTATTACTTTGCTTTTATAACTTTATAGATTCATTTGAGGGCAGCATGCTCCATCTTTTAGGTGGCCATGCTGTTATGTGAGAGAAAACTTATTTTTGTTTATGACACTTTTTCAGGTCACTGCCAAACCAATAGTTATATATCCAAACAGTGGTGAGAGATATGATGCTGAACGAAAAGAGTGGGTGGTAAGTTCATTCTGTTCATTTTCTCTATTAAAGTAGAAAGCAGTTTCCCTTTTACATTCTTATTCCTGATCTTTTCTTCCCTAAAAATTCAAGGTAAACATCACAAGCATGTTTATTCTTAACAAACATACAGTTTGTTTGGATTTGAGGAGAATGGGAAAACAGAAAGAAAATTTTGTAATAAATTGAAAGAGGAAGTTAATTGTTAAGCAAATGAATGTTTTTCCTTACTCTTATTTTTTCTAAGATTCAAATGAGGCCTTCAATGCTTGTCTTTGTGTCAGTTGCATAATAAGCAAGATCTGCTTTCTTGCTGCAGGAAAATACTGGGGTCTCAGATGAAGATTTTGTCTCTTATGTGAACAAGTGGTGTGAGGTCGGCGCTTCCCTTGTAGGAGGGTGTTGCAGAACAACTCCAAATACAATCAGAGCTATATATATGACTCTCTCCAGCAAATCTCATGCTTAACCAATGTAATACCTGTATTGACTTCAAATGGACGGAGCAACTTTACCTTTAAGTTCAACCAAGATGCTGAGGCCTGAACGAGCTTGCATCAAGATTTTTAAAGTTCTTCCGGGTTTGTTGTTTAGATAGGCCTTCTTGCTGCAAGCTTTTCCTGCCATTAAGGCTCAATTGCTGCTTGTAGTTAATGAGATGTATGTTTCATTAAATCCCGTATAGAGTGCAGTCCATTTTAGGCTTTGAGAGATTTGAGTTTCAACTAGCATCAGCCGTAATGCTTGTGTACAGTATAATAATAATCAGCCTGTTCAGAGCAATATATTGCCTAAGTAACAAAGGAGGATTTGTACCTCACTTATATGTTATCCCATTCAGACTAAAAATCTCATATTTTCTTACAAGAAATGAAGCAAGCTAATACAGTCAGTGGCTACAACTCAATAGCTTAATACAACTTATTAATTTGAATTGGGTAATGATGAGGACAAAAATTTAGGGTTAATGATATAACATAAATTATATTATTGAATAAGTTAATATATATAATATTACGGATTTTAAAAAAAATATTATTAAATAATATAAGATTCACTTTTTAATATTTTGAGTCACATTATTAGTTTTAAATTTTGATTTCATTTATCATTGTTTTTTTGAATTTGTTTATAACAAAACTTGCCTGATTATAATTTTTTTTCAAAAAATAAGAATTAATAATTATGTTTTACAAATAAAATAGACTTGTTAATGTTAACATCTTTATTATTATTTTTTTCTCTCTTTTTGCAGTGAAAAGTTTGTGATGATGGGAGGAATTTAAATCTTAACTATGCCATTGGGTAAGGCTTCGTTTGACCTTACTTCCTATAAATTGTTTTCACACAACATTTTATTTAAAAATATAAATTAATTATTTTAATTGATTTTTATATTTTTATAAAATTTAATTAATATTTTTATATATTTTTTAAATATTAAAAAAACACCTATATCATCAATACAATACAAATAAACGAAGGGTAAAGTTTGAGGAGAACCAAAAGGGCTGGGACATAGGGACTACGAGTCTACGACTTATAATGGCCCAACCCAAACTGTCGGGAGGAGCCCAAGTGAAGCCCGTTGAGTTAACCACTTGCGCGTCGACGTTTCCTCTTTAGAACCCTAAAACCCCCAGTTTCCTGTGTTCCTACACTTTTATTCCCTTTTGTTCTTCTTACAGTAAGCTCCCAAAACTTCGAGGGTCGTTCGAATTTTTTATTCCAGTTGCTTCTACACCTCTTCAATTGCTTTCTCTTTGGTGTTCTCGCGATGATTTAATGTTTCTTCTTCTGAATTTCTATACATTTTTAATGCACTCCTTGTATGATTTTAGCATGACAATAGCTTAGCTGAAAGTTTTGGCGCTCAATTTGTTGGATTAATATTTCTTTCAGGGACAATTTTGTAGTATAAATTGTTGGTTATGGAGATTGAGGGTAGTGGAGAAAATGGTTCCCTCATTCTGCTCAAGCAAGGGGCTGAAGCTGTAAGTCAAGCTTGCACCTTTATGTACTCTCTAGTGTAAATTTCAATCTAGGATGTAGATGGACTCTTGGGTTCCTTATATTGTTGGTCAAACATGCAAAAAAATTGAAGGGGTCTGCATATTAATGTCAGATACTTGAGTTGAGTCCTAGTCTAACTAGCATAGCTTTGTAATACTGATAGTGGTTTTGATAATCTCATTTAGAGAGTTTTTGAGTCGACGTTCGTGGGAAGGCGGTCTATTGTCAAAGAACGTTTTTCGAAGAAATACAGGCACCCATCTCTTGATTCAAAGTTGACTGTCAAGCGCTTGAATGCGGTTGGTTTTTTCAGAATGATATCTTGTTTTACATTTTTAATGAACTTGAAAGTGGTTTTCTTTTGTTAAAATTTAAGTCTTGAATTTGCATTAGGAAGCTAGGTGCACGACAAAGGCAAGAAGGCTTGGAGTTTCTACTCCAGTGTTGTATGCTGTGGACCCTGTGCTGCATACTTTAACGTTTGAGTATGTGGAAGGTCCTTCTGTTAAGGACATTTTCCTTGAATTTGGAATACATGGTGTTGTTCAAGAACGGTTAGATGATATAGCAACACAGATTGGTGATGCAATTGGTAAACTACATGATGGTGGTCTTGTTCACGGTGATTTAACCACATCAAACATGTTAATAAGGGATGGTAGCAACCAGCTGGTGAGTTTTTTTGTTTTATTTTAGCAGTTTTTGCAAAAAGCACAAGGAAGTTGACGAGGTTGGATGATGGTTGTATCATTTTCTTTATATAATCCACTTTTTTTTTTCTTTGAAGTTAGTTGTCCAACATCTGCTTAACATTCAGAAATATCTTCTTTTAGGTCCTAATTGATTTTGGACTAAGCTTCACATCAACCCTTCCAGAAGATAAAGCTGTTGATTTATATGTTCTGGAACGGGCCTTGGTTTCAATGCATTCTTCTTGTGGGAATGTGGTGAGTGATGTTTTAGCGTCTTCATCTTAATTATATTTATTCTTTATTTGATAGTTGCATGAATACAGGGTAAATTTCAAAATAGGAAGTGCAACTTAAGGTTTCTCAAGAAACTACCATATGCTTAATTCTCCTATTTGCTATTTGGGAATGAAAGTGCTTAAGTGACTGGTTTTTAGGTTTCTGAAGTAAAATTATATGCTCCACTTGCTGTTCTAGGTTTCTGAAAAGAAAAATAAAGTGGTTTTTGAATTTCAAGTCAAGTATAACCTTACAGTTATATACTTGTTTAGATGGACCGAATACTTGCAGCATACAAAAAGACCTCAAAGCAGTGGTCGTCCACTTTTAACAAGTTAGCTCAAGGTGCAACAATTACTCTATTTTCATCTTATTTGGTCACTTTTCCATCATTATCTGTCCTCTCATTTCTTGTTTTCATTTTGTTTCAAAATTTAGTGAGACAAAGGGGCCGGAAGCGCACCATGGTTGGATAAGTCTGTCTCTTGCAGTGATGTGTTCTGTAGTGGACTTGTAATGGTATGGAAAGCAACCCTGATTATTGCAATGAAAAATTTAGTCTTGTAATAGTATTTCTCTTTAGATCATCTGCACAAGCCATGAACTTAGACCTGAGATAGATGTACAAATACATGATTTATTTTCAACTTGGTATCATATAAGTTGGATCCTTGCTTCACATCTCTAGAATCTGAATGTCTTGAACTGATCTTTTCAATCAATTGGCTATTCCTAATGTTTGATGCAAAATTTTTTTAAAAAAATGATGTATTTGATAAGTTTCCTTAAAATAAGATCTTTGTGCAATTGGTTTTTATAAGTTTTCAAATATTTGATTTGGGTTTAGAAAAAATTTGCCATTCTTTATTTTTACTAAACTCCGGTGATAAAAAGTTAAGTTGGATCATAATTAATTTAGAATTAAGTTGAGTTAGATCTTATAAAAGAAAACTTTTTTAATGTTTATCTCTTCATTTATAAGATTAGAACTTAAAAATTTAATTTTGAAAAATCAGGTTCTTTCTATTTGAGCTATAGGTTGTAGTTAAAAAAATAAAAGGATTATTCTTTTGTGAGAGGATAAAATAATCTATTTTGCTGACGAAGCAGCCCATTGAATTTATGGGGCAAAAAGCAAAGCCCATTAAGTCAAAATCAAAATGAAATTTGCTCCGGGACCGGGAGGACCAGGAAGGAATTGAGCGCCAGCGACAGCCCAGATCCTATCCTTTCAGGCCGGCCGCACGAGGTCCCCGGCGAAGACAATCTATTCTTCCCGCCAAAAACTCATCCACCCTTCTCTTGCATGGACGATTCACTCTACTGCAGACACTTAAAGCTGCTGCCTTTCGATCTCCTTTCCCCCACGTCATCCTCATCCTCCGATCAGCCCACTTTCTCCCGCAAAGCCATGCCCGTCTCGCGGGCTGAATCCGTCGGTGCAATCACGTCCCGCGACCACAAACCCAGCAAATTCCTCAAATTCACTCTCGACGACGGCACCGCCTGCATCAGCTGCATTCTCTGGCTCAACCACCTCAGTTGCCCTTATTTCTCTCGCTGTGACTCTGGATCGGTTGCGTTGCTTGCCGACGCGGCCAGACGTTTTGCGGCGGAGATTCAGATTGGGAAGGTTGCTCGAGTGCGTGGTAGAATCGGCAGTAATAGGGAAGAGGTGTAGATTACGGCGTCCGATGTAGTGATCGAGAGAGAGCCAAATGTGGAAATCCTGCATTGATTGGATTGCTTGAGGTTGTTTCGCCAATGTTATGATGGTCTGAACCGTACAAGTAATTAGGTAAGTGAAATTGATCAGGAATTCATTGAGATTATGCTGTTTTGGGATTTCTATTTTTCCATATTTCTCCATACAATTTGATTTATTGAAGACAAAACAATGCAGAATTAGCCATTTGTTTTCTTACAACCTTAAGTTTGGAAATTAATATTTGATTCCCAAGACTAAAAGGATGTACAAATTGGCCGCAAAAAAAAAAAAAAAAAGAATGATGCTGAACTTAGAGCAATTTTGAAGTATTACTTCAGGGAATTTTTTGGGATGGAGATGCCAGTTCCGGGATTTCATTTTTATGCATTGCTTGTTTTTGGTCCTCGAAGGTTTTTTGCTGGATTGGTTCCATAGCATGCACTCAGATTGTTTTTAAGTATTTCACCTAATATAGGTTTTGGATCCACTAGATCTTCAAATAGTTTAAGGTAGTGTGATGCATGTAATGATTGTGATTACAAGTTTGAGGGCCTGTTGTAGGGGAAATCAGAGGAAGCCAACTTTTTTAACATCAATACCGCCACTGCCTCTTATTATAAAGAAAAGAGAAAGCAGTGAGCATGTCTAAGCCACGTCCATTTGCTACAAGGTGCGATAATATTCTATTGTAATGAATAGGGGATCAAACCTACTGAAGACTATGAAAAGCTAGGTTGTTTTTCCTGAGTAGTTGAGAGTTAGGTTTTTTAAGAAGCAAAAAGGCTATTGCATGTTAGTAAATGATGTTGCCAGCAACCAAATAGAGTTAATTCATGAGAGAAGCTGTGGCAATTGCTTAAGACAATTCATGAAAATCCAAAGCTGTTGCATTTATAAATAGTTAATCATGTCATGTGGTAGATTACTTTTGCTCGACACTTATAATGCAACTGATTAATTTTTTGTGCTTGAATCATTGTTTCAGGTAGATTGCAAGTCACTGTTGTGAGGTTCCAGCCATGCTTATTGGTGGGTAAAAAGATGCCTGTTTTAGATACACCTGTTAATTATGGAGCTACCAGGACAGTTTGATTGAAGTATGTGCCATAAATGCAATTTTTTTCTTGAACATGTGAAATGACAGCCTTTTTTGTATTGTTTCCTTGTCACATCTTAATGAATTATTGAGGAATCATATTTGAGCACTTTGACCTTGTTAACCAAGGTCTTTGAATGGTTAGTTAATTGGTTTGTATTGTGGCTTTGGGTTTTTAATACAAATATAATCAATCACTTCTGTTTGCTGGAACATATCCCGAAGCATTAATTGAGGATTATTGCAAAATCTTTGCCTCACTTGATTCTTAGACTTCTAAAGATAGATATTTGATCTACCCTTGAATAGACTACCAGCTCCACTGTGTGAAAATATCCTAATAAGTATTGAGGGATCTTGGTTTATCTGCACTTGAAGTTGTTTTCGAAATAATGCAAGGCTCTTGTTTTCGAGGTGGAGGTGCTAGAAACTCTAAATATCAAATAACCTGTTTGGTTCTTTTAGAAGGTAATGCAATATAAACTTGATCACTTAGTGAAAAGATTGAAGATGAAGCTCAGGTCACTAAATCAGGGCTATGTTTTACATCTCGAATCAAGACTAAGCTGAAAAGGTGCATCACTTACCAACATTCACCATGGCATGGCAGGTGAAACCACTTCAATTGGACAGGGATTTGTTCAAGCTAACGGCTCACTCACATCACTATAGCTCAACCCCTGAAATTCTAAATTTTGTGTAGGACAGGACACGTTTGCACTAATCTTGAATAACCATGATCGAGACATGAATGGATGAAGGCAATTTCCCAGAAAATGAGATGGTGGAGCCGTAGAGGCTGACCTCATGAAGTTGATGGACAAAATGAGGGGTGAAGAAGGCTAGGAAAACGAACGACAATGACAATATCTTTGTCCCAAAAGCATTGAGTGAAACCACTCCCCATTTTCTCTTCTTTGAAAAGGTTAAAACCTTCACATCAACAAGTCAATTTCCCTTTATTTTTCCCCAGAGGGATATAGGTGTACGGGTACAAAATTATTGCCTTGGCCCTTGCTCCTGTTGCATCAACCGGAAATGCTTCCCCAATTTTTGCTTGTTTTTTGTTTGCTATTCGAGGGATAGAGAAATATGATGCGAATAATTGGAGAACGTACTAAAATCCTACACTCTTGTAAAATAATAGAAAATAGACAAATTAGGCCGTTCAATATTTTTTTTATGCAAATAAGTCTTCCACAAAAAAATATTGTAAATGTATATATAACTATTATAATATCATCTTATAATAAAGTATGATAATATACATATATTATATATTATATGGTTAATTTGTATTTATTTGATTAGAGATTCATTTGTATATAAATTTTACACATCACAGTTATACAAAATTTTAACTATTCATCTTTCAACTTTTAATGGTTGAGATTTATTCATATTTATTAAAAAAATTATCTTTTTTATTTAAAAAATCGTGATAAATCTCAACTATTCAAAATAAAAAGATAAATGATTGTAATTTTGTATGAATGAGATGTATAAAACTTATATGTAAATGAATCTTTCCTCTATCTATTCATAAAATAAAAAGTTCAATCACATAAAAAAATCAATCATAAATAATAGGTATAATATTGAAAACAAAAAAATGTAATGAAATTCAAATAACATTAAATTATATAATATAAATTATTAGTTTAACATAAATTTTTTAATATCAAAATTATTTTTTTATTTAATAATTTTTTTATAATTTAATATAATTTAAATTATAAAACAACAACTTCTTGTGAAAACTCCATAGCAAGAGAACGTTGTAAATGAATTACTTACTTTACTACTTTCATACGACAAAAACCACAGAAGGTAGACAAGAAGAAATGGGTGGGTGCTTTGGAAATACAAGTTGCTTTATGAAGGTGGTAAGGGAAAAAAAAATGACATGAGAGAAGATTTTAGAGATGATTAAAACGGCGGCCTATGAAAAAGTGGGTTAAGAACGGATGGGGGGGAGTTTTAAGGCTGAAAAAAGCAAAAGAAACATAAAGAAAATCAAATTCCCTCCTCCTTCACAACATACTTTGCCCAAAGTACAAATTAAAGATAATCAATCCTTTGACTGCCTCGTTTGCCCGTCTACCTTGACCCATTTCCTAAACAGTAATTTAGAATACTGTTTTTCAGTTCCAACATACATTTAAAGTATTTTAAATGGTTCTTTTATTTTTTAAGTTTAAATTGTATTAAAAAGTAAAATAAGAGCCATTAAATGAAGGAAAACTCTTAATATGAATGAGTTCACTTCCCATTTAATGATAAACTTTGTGTAGTTTAATATAATATAAACTCCATAATATTTTGTTCATTTCAAATAGTGCTTAGTTTATTCGACTCATCTTTTTCACAAGGATGAGAAATTAGGCGTGTGCTGAAGATTGAGAAAATTTATGAGGCCCTACCTTAAACCATATCTTCCTCATGAACTAATCAATCTAATGGAAATTGGGTATGCCAAACAACATCTAACTGGAACAACAAAAATGAGGGAATTAAAAACAAATAAAAAAAGATGGAGAAGAGAAATGGTATTGTTTTCATCTTTTAGATAAAGCATTTAATCAAATAGGACCATGAGACTTTAATTTAATTTAAGTGGATGTAGTTTCTTTCCTTATAACATCCAACTGTAAATGCGGGGATATCCCTCCATGCACTTGTCATATTTATGGATCCTAAAGGCAATACCCAGGAGTATTCTTTGTTACCCTTTTTAGACTTTGTGCAGTCCTATAACAAAAATCACCCACACCATCGTAACCTTTTTATTTTGTTTTGTGTTTTTAGATATATTGGTAAGGTCGAGAATCTAAAATCTTGTAGTTTCAATTGAAATCATTTTCAAGTATTAATTCTTATATATATATATATTAATATTATAAATATCAATCTAAACTGAAAAGATCTAAAATATAAATAATAACTCAAGAACAAAAATAGTTAAAATATCACTTGTGATTTTCAACTTAAAATGAAATTCAATTTCTAGTTAATCAAATTGAAAATAAATATGTTATTAAAAAAAGAAAAAGAAAAAAGGACAGACTCCTCATTGGACCGGCCTAGACCTCAAATGACAATCTATTCATTAGTCGATTTGTGTTTGGTCTAAATTGAACCGTATTCTTATACATCTTGAAAAGAGAAAGAAAACAAGCAGCGGATTACCAACTACCTAATCAGTCTCAGCTTGATTAGATACCTACCATTAATTAGATCAAAGCTAAATTAGGCTTCTCTTCCTCTCTCATGGTTGCTAATGGGGAAACATGACATTTTAACACCCCAAACATGTCCTAAAGAGAAGTCTCCAAATGGGGCTATAGTGCTCTAATGGAAGCTTCAACAACTACTCTAGGGCGTTTGTTAGAATCTGATTCTCATTTGGGGAAGAAGAATTAGGGTTTTCTTTTGGATTGTTATGCCGTCAAATTCATTAGTTTAATCCTTTAAACACAAAAAGTTAAGCACCACTCTTGGTTGATAAAAAGTCTTGAAATATGAACATTTGTAAGGCTTAGGGAACAAAGACACGGTCTCCCACATGTAAGCATGTGTGTAAAGATTAGCCAATTAAGGAAAATCATCATTTTAAAGAGCTTAAATTAATAGGTCTCTTTTGTTTGAGCTAAGTATTAAACTGATATTAATAGATTGTTTATGTGAAACTCGAGAGGAGATCGCATGGACCATGATTCGTGGGAACGAGTGTAGATAGGGTTAAAGACTCTAAAAGAGCTAACAAGATCCTACATATATGTTAAAAATTGATTTCTTTTAGGAAGAGGATGTTTTTACAAGCACAAAATTTTGAATTAATATATATTTGAATAATGAATTTATGCTTTTTTACGTATGAAATAACATTAAGTACATGAAATAGGAACAAGTGCTTTGTTTCTCATGGACACAAGTCTAGATTGAGTAAAAAGAATCTCAAAATTGCATAGCATTCTCGATAGATTGCCAACTAAAAGGAAAGAAATGAAAGTTTTGAGGAGATGCATTGCTTCTAAAGATGAACCTCACAAAAACCTATACATTCTCTCAAACCCCAATAATCTGCATACCTTGGAGACCCAACACAAAACAAAATTTCCATTATTTAGAAACCTATAGACCTATAAATCCATCAAAGCCCCAAAATCCCACATTGGGGGAACAGTCTCGGCCTTCACAAAAGTCCATCCTCTTCATTCCTACCCCTTCAAATGTGCAAAGATACATACCCTCCTAAACCTACATTAACAACCCAAATAGACTCACCCCAAAGCAAGTTCCTTTGACACCAATAACACTTCAAAAATGTAAAAACAAATTAACCCTTTTGGGAAATCTTTCCAATCCACATCTAAATAGAACCAAAGAAAGTGGAAGCAAAAAAACAATGCATTGGCCTTCTCTTTATCCTTTAAAATTTCTTCTTTAACCCCTTTTGTTTCTTCTCATAGAAAGAACCAAATGGAATGTGGATTATTTGGGGTATTGAATTGAATGAAATCAAATCAACCCTAATTTTTCTGACCACGGGCAGAGGGGTGGAATCCGGGCAGGGTTAAGAGTGTTGGTGGGCAAGGGATATAACCATTGCCCAGTTGCCTTTGTTTTTTTGGGTTGGCCTTGGATTTTGGGTGAAGTGAAACAAAGGCTTAAGGGGAAGGGAATACTGAGGCTCTCTTGCACTTTATTCTGTTCAAATTCGATACTTTGCCCTGTACCCAAAACGAGGTTTTGTTTCAATAGGGGGAAAAATTCTCTCTTTCCTTCTCTTGTATGTGTCCTACATTGTCCTCTTCTACTCTCAGAATCTCATAGTCTTACTTCCACGCATCACTTGTTCTTCTTTTCTGTCTGTCTTCGTTTCCGTTTCAATTCCCTCCTGTTTTGCCTCTTCCTTTTGCCCTCTGTCTTTTTCTTGGACTCAGATAGAAGGAGAAAACGAAGGCCCAAGTGGAGCATTTTGGTTTTCATCATGTGAAGTAACAAAATGGAGAAGAAAAACTTCAACTTTCTTTGCTCCCTCGATTGTTTTCTCTTCATTACCTGAGGAAACTGGAAGAAACTGAGAATTTGTCTTAGGTTCTCTTCGCCTCTCTGTTAAAATTAGTTCGCTTTTCTTTTCTCATTGTTTTGAACATTGAGCTTTAGTTTTCTCTCTTGGTTTTCTGGACCCTATAACTCTAGGGAGAATCCTGTTTTCAGGGTTCTGGACAAGTTCCTGATTTGCGTTTGTTTTGTATTCTACTTCCAAAATTTCGCCATTTACTTTCAATCAAACCAAATCCCATTTCAATATACAGTTGAACAAACAAGGCAATCAATCATTGGTACAAATCTGGATAGCTATATGAAGTTGTGAAACAATGAGAGATGGGAACTCCAAGAAAAGCAAGGTTTTGAGAAATGCCAAAACTTAAGTGATTTTGTATGCATATGTGATGTAAGGTTGCTGATTCTGAGTTTTTCCCTGCTGAAGCTTTCATGGCCCAAGACACTGGTCAAAAAGTGGTTCAACATCAAGAGCAAAGCTGAGGACTTTCATGCTGATGACCTTGATTATGGAGGTGACTCATGGGTCTAATCTTTCTGTTCTATTATATCTGAGTGAGTCATAGAAGGATGAAATTGGGTTCTGGGATTTGGAATCTTAGCTTTAATACCAAGAACCAAAATGAGACTGCTTTAGATTCTTCTAGACCCTGAAGGCCTAAAAACTTGCACTATTCTTCTGTTTCCATCTCCATTTGTCTTGTGCAGAAATGTGTTTTGGTTTCTATTGGAGGATCTGGCACTTCCCATTTGGAGCTCAAGATTTGTTTTTTTTTTTTTTTTTTTTCTTCCCTTTCTGAAAACACAAAATTTTTTTTTTTCTTTTCTCTGTGAGTAAAAATGGTTTTTGTTTTTTATGGTGTTTTAATATGTGAAATTGATTCACTAGCTGTGGAGATGGAGCAGCTTTAATCGCTTTATGATTTTTCCTTTTCAGGTGATGATGAAGATTGGAGGAACAATTTCTCAGAGGGGGAAGAATGCACTCTCAAGAAAAGCAAAACAGGTTCAGTATCAGAAACCACCCAAGTAATTGTTTGGACCACATTACTTTTAAACCCCCACTCAAATTTTAGAGCAAAACAACATCAAAAGTTACTGTTTTTTGGTATTCTGGTTTTATTTTTCCACAACATTTTACGATAATCTAATCTGTTCTGTGGATTTGCAGAAAGATTAAACAAGAGGAGCTCTGATCGAGTTCGCCGGAGTAAGATTGACATTGATGCCTCACAAGTTACAGATGTTCATAATTACAGGCATGCTTTTTTTTTCTCTATTCCCATTGATCTTCTGATTTTGATTTGTTTCAATCTGGGTTTGGTTTTCAAGATGTTTGCTTCCCATTTGGGGTACAGGATTTTTGTAGCTACATGGAATGTGGCCGGAAAATCTCCTCCAAGTTATTTAAATCTTGAAGATTGGCTTCATACCTCTCCTCCTGCAGATATTTATGTTCTTGGGTATGCCAAATTAATCCATAGTTTTCACAAATATCATTTCATTTAATCATGCAAAATTAGTGTTATTGATAGAAGCCTCTTTCATCCATTTTGCATTTAGGTTTCAAGAGATTGTTCCTCTGAATGCTGGTAATGTTCTGGGAACAGAGGACAATGGTCCGGCAAGAAAATGGCTGGCTCTGATTAGAAAGACTCTAAACAGTCTTCCTGGTACTAGCTATGGTTGCCATACGCCTTCCCCAATCCCTGATCCAATTGTAGAACTGGATGCAGACTTTGAGGGTTCAACAAGGCAAAAGGCCTCTTCTTTCTTCCATCGCCGATCATTCCAATCCCTGAGCCGCAGCATGAGAATGGATAATGATATGTCAGTGCCACAACCCCGACTTGATCGAAGGTTCAGTGTCTGTGATCGAGTAATCTTTGGGCATAGACCAAGTGATTATGACCCCTGTTTCAGATGTGGTTCATCTGATGAGGAGAATGGACCAGGTGATTCACCACCAGGTAACACTCTGTATTCACAATACTCACCAACGTCCTATGGTGGATCCTTTGCCATGGAGGAAAGCTATAGGCACACAGGGCAGTCAAGGTACTGTTTAGTTGCAAGTAAACAAATGGTTGGGATATTTCTAACAGTATGGGTAAAGAGTGATCTCAGAGATTATGTTCGCAACATGAAAGTGTCTTGTGTTGGCAGAGGATTGATGGGTTATCTTGGTAACAAGGTACATATTTACCTTTAGTACTTTATCTCCAATTTGAGAGCTAAACTGTTACGAACTAAAGAAAAGCAGTAATCTCATTCTTTCAAGTTTTCCAGGGCTCCATTTCGGTTAGCATGTCTTTGCATCAGACAAGCTTTTGCTTTGTCTGTAGTCATTTAACCTCAGGACAGAAGGAGGGAGATGAGTTGCGAAGAAATTCTGATGTTATGGAGATCCTTAGAAAGACAAGATTTCCAAGGGTTCATGGTATGGGAGATGACAACTCTCCCCAAACAATTCTAGAGCATGAGTAAGACCTTTGTGCATTACATTTTGATTAGATGTCACAATATTTTCCCAGTTGTTCGTATTTTTTTTATTAAAAGACAAATTCCATTGGTTGTTGGCTTAAAATTCTAAGCTTGGTCTGTCTTTTTGCAGTAAAATCATTTGGCTTGGAGATTTGAATTATAGGATTGCTTTGTCATACCGTTCTGCAAAGGCTTTAGTTGAGATGCACAATTGGAAGGCATTGTTAGAGAATGACCAGGCATGTTCTTTCTAAGATTGTTATTTATTTAGAAAAACTGGAAAATGATATTTTCCTTTGCTTTCTGCAAAGAACTTTTGCCTACTCCTAATGTCTCTAAGAACTGCTCAATCTAAAAATCTTAAAAAATTTTCCAGCTTCGGATAGAGCAGAGGAAAGGACGTGTTTTTGAGGGATGGAATGAAGGGAAAATATATTTTCCTCCTACATACAAGTATTCAAATAATTCAGATAGATATTCTGGGGATGATAGGTACCCAAAGGAGAAGCGAAGAACTCCTGCTTGGTAATCTCTTCATTTACCTTTTTTTCTTTTTATTTTAAGTAGTACAAACAAATAAAAAAAAAAGTACTGATAATCTTGTTGTCATCTTTAACATAACTGTTGGTGTATAAAATAAATTTTATTGTTTTGATAGTACAAACAATTAAGCAGTTATCTATATGCGTGAAGGTGTGATCGTATTCTGTGGTATGGAAGAGGCCTTGGTCAGTTATCTTACGTTCGTGGGGAGTCAAGGTTCTCAGATCATAGACCTGTTTATAGCATATTCTTAGCTGAGGTTGAGTCAATAAACCGTAGCCGAATTAAGAAAAGCATGAGTTGCTCTAGCTCCCGGATTGAGGTTGAAGAGCTGTTGCCTCAATCACATGGATTTACCGAACTTAATTTCTTTTGAAGGGATGAATTCTTAGCAATCCACATTCCAGTCTGCAACGGTTGAGGAAATGAAACCATGGTCAAATGCACTGTTCTATAAGGTAATTCAACCATACAATGCTATGAAACAAGTAAATTCCTTTTATTGTCTCATGATTGAAGCAAGTTTCCTTGTGCCTATAACAGGATATGTACCTAAATGAGTGTGTTTCATGATGAAAGTGCAATTTCCCCTGGAATTTAAGTGCCACTCACCTTCTCAATCATTCAGGTAAATTTTAATCATGTAAATAGATCTAATGTTGTCGTGTCAGACGGAAACAAATATAATTTTATTAATACAATGACATCAACCTCTTTGGTGGATCTTTTGAAATCTATCTACATGTTGCTTTCAAGCCTTCTGCTGACCGAGCAAAGTGCTGATTTTGTGCCAGCAAACCATGTTTTGTAGCAATATAGTAAAATAGAACATGTCCTGTGAATATTTCCTGAAAGTTTTGCTGTAAAGGTCTCCGGCGGAGCATACCTATCCTTTGTTCCTATTCTTATCTATTATTTTGGTCCCAAATCTACAGGTAGGCACTGCCTTGTGGTAACTACTCCCCAGATGATGATAAAGACATGCTTGTCCATAGTCCAAAAAATATATATAAAAAAAAAGGTCAGTCCCTTGTTTTCTCCCCTGCTGATGCAGCAATATTTTCTAATGCTAAAAACTGTTTATCTGATTCTCTCCAATCTCCATACCCTTTCCTTTTCACAACAGATACAAATTGTGTTATTAGGAATAGCTCCTCACCCCCACAAGTTTGCATTTTTGCAATTTGCTCTGCTACAAGCTCCTAATACCAAATTAACAAATCCTGGCTCAAAATAAGTGTACGCAGATTTATCTATAAGGTAAAGACTAATTAACATCAGATTGTTTGTTGATAAAGACTCTTCCCATGTTATAATTTTTTTTACTTTTATCATTGTTCTTTGCAGGAGGATGAAATAAGTAGTTCAGAACTTCATTTGGAAAAGTTGAAGGTATAAAGAGAATTAGGGAAGAGTTTGTAATGAGAATGTTGTAGTGCAGTCCGCTTTACTTTTAACCTTTGATGGAGACCACCGCTTTTTCATTAATAGTTATAAGAAATGTAATTTATGCGCTTCAGTTTTTTGTTCTGTAATATATATAAGAAGAAAAAAAGGAAAAAGAAAGATAAGGAAGGGATGATCCATTGTCATTGTCTTTTTGTATTGTTGTTGGAAGATAAAAGGACCTGGAGAAATGATGTGATGGGTACTCATTTCTTGTGTTTGAAAGGGAAGTTTTGAATTATTTGAAGCTTCTTTTTGCTGTTGCTGCTAGTAATAATTTTACTGATAAAGAAAAGCTAATTCGAGTGATTGTGTCTCTTCCCATTTTTTTAACTTACATTTCAATTCATTGAGACCTGAAAGTACAAACAAAAGGGAACAAGAAAGAGGAAAAGAGAACTGCCCACTGGAAAAAAGGAGTGCAGTAAAGCCTCAGACCCTACACCACCATGCCTCGTAGTTTCTGGTGCAACAGGTCATGCTTTAGCACGGATCCAACAATGCTTAATTAAATGTATAGAAAATCTTCAAATTTCCCACGTTATATAGGGATTAATTTTGAAAATACAATATTTAGGACAACTGTTTAGGCCTGTTCTAAACAGAATTTGACTCCTTTGAATCAAACTTGAAACTTTTCAAGATTTGGCCAAATTATTAATAGTTCTTGGTGGTTTTTCATTCATGATGAAGCATTAAAGCCAACTGTCCCTACCAATGAAGCAAGGAGAAGAATTGAAGGCAAAGGTTCAATGGTAGATAGATCAAGGGTTGCAAGCCAAGCAGTACAACACACTGACAGTAGGGTTAGATACTGATAGGTGTAGTAACTTATGGACGAACCTACCACTTGGGAAACCGTCAGAAGCAACAAAATTGTACAAACAGGTGCAGTAACTTCAACATTCCTCACTTTGCCCTTTTTCACTAACAAGCCACAAAAAATACCCATAACAAGTAAAATACTAACTCAATTGAACTACACATTTTTCTTAGAATTTCTAATACTCTATAATGAATTATACAAATAAAAGACCGGAATACATTTCTACTTTGCAGATTCAAACTTAAAATTTTAAGTTCTTATTAATTGAAACACCCATTTGCAATCATAATTTGGTCTATTTATATAGCTGCGGAAAACACTTGGATGAAACTGTGAATTTACAGGGGTTGGCAGATGCCAAACAAGCTTTCTTTGCGCACTGGAGATTGAAGAGAAGGGAGTCAGAAATTAACAGCGGCTGTAACATCAAGAGGGTTAAAAAAACAGACGTATTTTTTTTTTTATTTAACTAAAGTTGGGTTAAAAAAGCAGAAAACTCAACTGAAAATAACGCGCGGTGGCGAGGTTGGAGGCAGAGGAAGCGGCTAATGTTTTATGTACCCACGACATGTCGCTGTCTTTCTGGTTTTCTGTGTCACATTACTCTGTTATAAACAGCTGCGGTGGAGCGTGAACAACCACGTTATGGAAGCTGTCGGGAATTTAGTTTAAACTGCACAAAATATTTTTAATAACGAAAAAACTGTTTTTTTTAATATTTATAATTATATTTCAACTACCTAAATAATTAAGTGATAATCTTTATTTATTATAAATAAGAGATTTTAAATTT